AATATTTCTAGAATATGACAAATGCATGTTTTTATAAAACTTTTCTACATAGTTCTGATTTTTTTTTTTTTTTTTTACAAAATTTGATCTATTCCTTCAAACTTCATGCATGAAGTGGTTAATTCATGCATTAAGTTTCTCTACCAAATTGCACATTTGTGTTTATCAAACTGCTTATTTTAACAGTGGTACAAATGGTCATCCTAATCATCATATCGTCCTCATTAATGAAATGGGGGAAAAAAGGAAAACTGTGAGTTATAACAAAAAGCCATTTTTATTTTCAAAGACAAATGATACAATCATCAGAAACGCTCAAAAATCTCACAGATTTGTACTGGTTTGTTAGTCCCATACAAACAGGTTAAAGTTTCACGAACTTTATGGATGAAACAGGACGAAAGATTGTGGAAAGGGAAACATCTGTACAGTATGTGCAAGGAAGGAATGCTCGACACATGAGATAATGCATTCTCCCATTGTTTACAAACCAAGCATTGTGATGAATCAAAATGATGCATATTTCAATAGCAGGTTTTCCAGGGTTTCAAATACAAAACACTTTAGTTAAAAGTACAGAAACGACTATAATGGAGCGCAAAAGACTTCGCGGAAGCATTTGGTTTTCTTCATGTGTTAATCTGACCTTGCGTACTGGCAATATAAATGAAATTTGCAAATAGATATTCCAAGGAGAAGTCCAAAACTCTCTGTATGTCTGTGATAATGACAGAACGTACTGTATGTAAATGAAATCTCAATGTTTTTTTTTTTTAATGCATAGAATGAATATACATAGTCTAATGGAAGGAATCTCTGCTATTGACCCATAAAACAGACTCTTGCAAGGGTACTACATAAAAAAGGGTCAATGAAAAACATAGTCCATTGCCCAAAAGCATATAAATATTTGGCCCTTGTTAGTCCCATACAAACAGGTTAAAGTTTCACGAACTTTATGGATGAAACAGGACGAAAGATTGTGGAAAGGGAAACATCTGTACAGTATGTGCAAGGAAGGAATGCTCGACACATGAGATAATGCATTCTCCCATTGTTTACAAACCAAGCATTGTGATGAATCAAAATGATGCATATTTCAATAGCAGGTTTTCCAGGGTTTCAAATACAAAACACTTTAGTTAAAAGTACAGAAACGACTATAATGGAGCGCAAAAGACTTCGCGGAAGCATTTGGTTTTCTTCATGTGTTAATCTGACCTTGCGTACTGGCAATATAAATGAAATTTGCAAATAGATATTCCAAGGAGAAGTCCAAAACTCTCTGTATGTCTGTGATAATGACAGAACGTACTGTATGTAAATGAAATCTCAATGCTTTTTTTTTTTAATGCATAGAATGAATATAAATAGTCTAATGGAAGGAATCTCTGCTATTGACCCATAAAACAGACTCTTGCAAGGGTACTACATAAAAAAGGGTCAATGAAAAACATAGTCCATTGCCCAAAAGCATATAAATATTTGGCCCTGTGACACGTTTGATTAAGACAGACCAATGTTGTTCTTGTGTTATCAGGCGTATTGAAGCAATTAAACACGGATTCATACAAAGTTAACAGTGCAGAGGTTCTTTACATTTGCAGTTACCTGCTTGCAGCTTTTTGTAAACATTCTGTAAACATAAACGCTCTCCTCACTACCAGAAGACACCACGGTAAAAGAAAAGGCTAAATCAAATAGTGGGGCAGTTAAGAACAGCATGTGTAAGTGTTGTTTTTGTACTCAAAGAAATGGAGTTTAATACTGTACAGAAGAAATGAGCGGGGTAACAAACACTCAATTTAGTTGTTTCTGCAAATCTGTAAGAAACACAATCTGCCATGAACTTTATTTGAGCCCAAATAAAGATGTAGTTCAGATTGCTAGTTTTTGGGTGAATCTCCAAAAAAAAGAGCATGTTCGGGTTATGTTTTATCACAAAAATCAAAAGGGAAAAAAATATTATATTTTGCATTAAGTTTAGAACCAGGCACCACGTACAATCATTTTCATAATTATTAATCACTGTGAGGTGGGAAAAAAATGCCTATTTTTATTTATTAAAAAGTATTCATATGCCATTGGACTGAATTTAATTGATGCTAATTTATTTCATTTAATGCATTAAAATACAAAACAGGATTTAGGAAACAGGATTCATTTTCTTCATGCAAATGTAACTTCTTGAGTAAAATATAACCCGGACATTCCTTTTTGTTCTTTATCAATAAATAAAGGTGACTTTATATCTGGCATTTAGGCTTCATTTGTTTTACATCCCTTTAAAAAGAAGTGCTTTGTTCTACACAAAAATAGAAATAAAAAGACAAGTGACATTTGTTTTAGAAGGGCGCTGCCAGCAGCCTATTAACTTACATTTGGACAAACATTCTATCAAGTACCACTTGTTGCTGATTCCAGAAACATATACATAATTTTTCAAAGACCACAACTCCAAAGTGTAAAGAAAATCGCATTATTACAAATATAACTGTTTCAAAATTGGTAACATATTTGCAGGAGTTCCCTGTCAGTGATAATTTCATCCCAACTTATTATGGTTTGTTGACCAATAAATACATTCTAGAAATAGAGATGATGAACTTTTCCGGTAAACATCCATCGTGTAATTTAGGCTACTCAATCTGATTGTCTGTTCAGTATAACGTTTGCTTGTCAAATGTCTTGCATCCCAAAGATTGCCAGTAATATCAAAGTACTTGTTTATATTGTACCTCAAGAACATTAGCACACAGCAAAGAGACATTTCTGAGTTTGATTGTTGTAGTACAGTTGCATAGTGTTTAACTAACCTACAAAGTGCAGTTAACCATCCAGTTATAGAACAGAAGGCTGACGATCGTATTGGTTTCATATCTGCACAAGAGACGGAAACTGGCCGTTTTATCATTGCAAGTGCATGCGTGAGATTTGATCATGTCTGTATCTGAAGATGCAAAGATTTAGGCCACTGCTGCAAGAGTTTGGTCGTTCTTGTAGTCACCAAAAAACATTAAATAAAAAATGCATCTAAAATAAATTAACTAGATAAACATTGGATACCAAAGTCAAACTAGTGGAGTTACCTCTCACCTCTCGTAACATATCTTTGTACATTTATTAATTGTTTGTGTTATAGATGTTACTTACTCAGATTTACCCAGTCTAAAACATTTCTGGATGTCTTAATTCTTAATATGAAATGTTTCAGATTGAGATTTTATTCTGAGAAAAATCCACAAACGTTTAATTGTGGATATAGTCTTACAATGAAATATCCTTCCTTCATTGCTTACGTATCATTTGAGTTTCGTTTTGGTTGCCTTACAATAATAATAACAAAACATTTAAATTACAAAATGAGTAAATATTTCATTAAGTTATTAATAGATGTCCCAAAAATAATATTCAAACATCTTAAATTTTGTCCCTCTAAACATATTGCATAATTTAAAGTTTATATGGCTTATATTGCTTCTCGAATCAGTACCGTTTGCTACCATTTCATACATAAATTAAAATAATCAGAGGGAATTAGCCAGTACTTATTCAAATAGCTGACTTCCAGCACGCATAAATAAAAAACAATTGCTTTCAGTGTTAAGAAATGCTAAATTATAGAGAGTTAGTATAAAAATATTCTGCGCCAATAGTTTGGATGCATTCCTAAAGTTTACTCTAGGGCAGGTAAAGGGATAGTTAATCCAAAAATGAACGTTCTGGCATCGTTTACTCTTAAATATACGTCTGTTCATTACACAAAGCTATTGAATGGCTTAAGAAGACCTAGCGCACAAGCCATATGGACCACTTTTTTGGTGCTTTTTGGAGTTTAAAAGCACCAAAAACCATCTTAAAGAGGATTTCAGAGCTTGACAGTGACAGTATGCTTTTGTTGTATTTAAATGTGCAGCATCAATATTGTGCTAAACATCTCCTTTTGTGTTCTGCAGAAGAAAGAAAGTCATACAGGTTTGGAACGGCATGAAGGTGAGTATATTTTCATTTCTGGCTGAACTATTCCTTTAAATTCAATGACTTGAATGTGTTATATCACTGATGAAGTGGAATGTCAGATGAATTAGACTAAAGGTGCGTTCACATTTACCGTTGCTCTTTGAAATTTCGCTGAAATATTGCTAATGTGATCGCACCTTAAAGGGATAGTTCACCCAAAAATTAAAATGTGATGTTTATCTGCTTACCCCCAGGGCATCCAAGATGTAGGTGACTTTGTTTCTTCGGTAGAACACAAACGAAGATTTTTAACACAAACCGTTGCAGTCTGTCAGTCTTATAATGTCAGTGAATGGGAATCACGGCTTTGAGAGTCAAAAAAACATACACAAACAAAACCAAATTAAACCCTGTGGCTCGTGACGATAGATTGATGTGTAAAGACAATAAACGATCGGTCTGTGCAAAAAAATGAACAGTATTTATATCGTTTTTTACCTCTGAT